TTGAGCATAGAGTAGCAAACCATACAGCTTTCCATGGGTCCTTTCGTGCATCCCCACGACAGCAAACCAACTTCTCGTGGCAAATGGTTCCAACTTCCTTGCTATGTAAGAAGGAGTACTCCTCTGCTTTTTCAAATATATTCTCATCCATTTTAAGATTCAAGTTTGAAATTTTTAATATAAATAAAATTTAATCTAACTATAAATTCTAATTAATCTAGTTGGCAAAGAATAGGACTTTATTTGGTTTAATCATTTTGAATTGCTTATAACTTATGGTGGATATTTAATAGAGATAATTTGAAACAATTAAACTAAATAGATGTTAAATAATAATTGTTTTTTTCTAAATAAATAAATAAATAAAAATACTTAAATTAATAAAGATGGTACTATAAAGATAATTTTTTATATTATTTTTTAATATAATTTATATATATTATTAAATAAATAAATGCATTCAATATCACTAGTCTCGCGTGAATAAAATATTAATTATTTAAATGACACATCATATTGCATCAAAAATAATATAAAAAAATTATTCTAAAAAGTAGTACAAAAAGATTATTCCAACATCATTTTCCAATTAATAATAGTTGCTTTCTAAGAGTACATTTCATTCAAGAAAAATGGAGGGTAACATAGATTTTTTAACCAATCAATCTATCCCTCCCATCTGTTTTACAATATTTCATCTCAACTATAATCTTTTATTAATAAATAAATGGCTATTATTATTAGTAATATATTCTCAAGGTTTTTTTTAGTATTATTATCTCTTCTTTGCTGGCCAAGAAAAAGCTTCTTCTTTAAAATTAATAATTAGTTCCTCCCTAGAGTTTAGGAGAGAATAACACATTGCTAGCAAAACAATCTCTTAGAAGTTAGAACAAACTTTGGATTGATATCCTTTAATTGTTTTGTTAGATTAAAAAAAAAAAAAAAAGACTTTGCTAATGTCCTCTTAATTGAGTTTAAAGGCTGACACATGGGACAATAAATTCGCATTTCAATGCCTATATATATCTCCCTAATTACACCACAAATTAACTTCAAATATTTTCCTTAAAATTTTCCCTTTTGTCTCTGCAAAACCAAAACAAATTAGAGAAAAAAAAACCCAAAAAAAAAAAGAGGCAGAAATTTAAAACCAGAAATGAGCCCTGCCCAATTTCATGATCAGAGACCTGATTACCTGTCCCCGGCCCCGCTGAAGATCAACAAGGACTCTCATTTCATCAGGAAATCCCCTAATTCATCGTCTTCCTCCTCGTCCTCTGCCGCGTCCTCCATCGGCGTCGTCGGTCCTCCGGCCAAGCCACAGCAACACCGCCAGCCGGTCATCATCTACACGCACTCGCCCAAGGTCATCCACACGCACCCTAAGGATTTCATGGCGCTAGTGCAAAAACTCACTGGCCTGTCTCGCTCCGAATGCGATCAATCGTCGAATACGAAATCCGACAGCCGAAATTCCTCCCCTGCTGACGAAAACAAGATTGATAAGATCACCGGAAGCGACGACACTCACGATCACGATAATGAATCGTCGTCGGCGATCACGGATGAAAATTCTTCCTTCTTATCTCCAATTCTGGATCCGCATCCAGGACCTTTCCTGACAAATGCTCCGGTTTTTGCACCGAATTCGGCACATTATATAAACTGCAGCGACCCATTCTTTTACATGCCGCCGAATATGAGGACCTCTATTTCTTCGTCTGCTGCCTTCGATGCCATTAATGAGTTTCAGGATTACTGAATATTTAATTTAATTTGGTTTATGAGGTTAGAATTTTGGAGTAATTAAGATCAGAATTTACTACTAATTGATTTTTTGTTTTTTTCTCAAGCTAGCCAGGGTTTGAGTTTTTATCCAAATAAAGAGTTTCGTTTTTGTTGATATATATGGACTTTTTCCCATTCAGAATTTGTTTTAATGTCAATAATAAGTTTTTGAAATTTTGGGGTAAGATGTCTATAGTTCTGCATTTTAATTATTATTATTATTATTATTTAATTGTTAGAGATTTTATTTGTGTGATTTTCGCCGGTATAGGTCGGCTTCTTTTTTTTTTTTTGGTACATATAGGTCGGCTTCATTAAGGTTATGGGTTTTAGTTTTTAATTTTAATTTTTTAAAATTTTATATTAAAAAAAAACTCCTTTTGCAATATATTATCATGAGTATTGAAGAAATAAAAACAGAAATAAATTTTAATATTAACTTTTATTAAAAAAAATAAAAATTATGAATTTTTAACATTTTAAATAATTAACCATTTAATTCTAACCGCGAAACAAATGAGATTTAATTAGAACTTAACTTACACTTTATTTTACCTATGACATAATTTTAATTAAACATTCTAATATTTTTAATACTTAAACATCTTAATTTTTTGCATTCTTATTTTTTATTATCAATATTAAAACTTATCTTTAAAAAAATTGTT